ACTTGAAATGTTTTCTATAGCTTTTGTTGAGTTTTTGTCACTTTTGCTTCTGCTTGTTTTTGTGTCCAAGTGATCGTTGGGAAGAGTTGTGAATAATATGATGGTAGCGCTAGTTCTTTTAAAATTAAGAAATGTATTAAAGTCATATTTTAATAAGTTATTTGATTTTCTAATTTATGTACTAAGACTACAATGCTTTAGCGTATCTTCAGAAAATAATTTTTTAACAATACTGCTTCTGGGTCATAATTAGCACAGGAATATTATTACACAAATATTGCAAATGATAAGTCATTCAATATATCAAATAATATATCATGTGGCTTCTGTAGCTTTACAGACATTAATGTCCGTGAAGCCACAGAAGCCACATGACATATTATTTGATATATTGAATGACTTATTGTTCGATATATTGAATGCAAGTCTAAATGATACCATTCAATGCATCAAATTTTTTAAAATTTACCAGTGCTGTGCTTAATAAAAAGTACAGGCATGGTTATAGTGCAATTATTTAGTATTTGGCTTATATATAAAAAGTGTTAGACACGTTTTGGGCACAGACACTTATACTAGGTCTAAAAATATCTTTTTTTTTTTTTTTTTTTAAATACAGGTACAAGCATAGGCATAGTTATTTAATATCAAAATTTAAAAATTCTAGATACCTTAAATAAACCTAAAAGTATAAGCATGAATATAGGCATGGGCATGGGTATAATATACATTTATAAATTAGTAAATGCATGCAAAGTGAAATAATTTTTATTACCAATCAGAACATAAACAACCTAATAACTACAAATATCTAAAATTAATAAACCCAAACACACTATATAGACCCACAAATTAATATATTTAAACTCGCACTTTTCAATTCTAAAGTTTATATCTATATAACATTATTGCTTTATTAAAAAGTAAGTTCTTAACACATTAAATTCAAAAAATTTACATATAATATATACCAAGAAGAAATTTACTGGAAAGAGTTAATATTATTAATACTTTGCTTAAATTAAACTATGCTTATTTAAGTATGATCTAATAGAAATACTTTTGGCAAAAACATTCGCAACTACTTTGCTTAAGTCATAAAACTGTATATAGTCGTATATTTTATATAGTCCAATAGAAAGTGAATAAATTTTTCTTCTAAGTGAAGTTTTTCGAGATTTTGATTTTTTTTTTTGATTCTTTTGCACAGTGAACATTGACATTTTGTTAAAGCTATAAATGATATTTAGAATGATTTTTTATTAGTGAAATGTAGTGCTTCACAAAAGCAAATCAAAGTTTGAGTTTGAAATCAAATATTTGATCAAGTCAAATTTGATCAAATATTTGATCAAATCAAATTCAAATTGATCAAATAGGACTGTGAACTAGTTCACGATTATTTATCAGATTGATCATGAAATAGTTTATAGTTATTTACCTATCCCTACTAAATGCTCACCAAGCAAAAATATTTGAAAAGCACAGGTGCGAGTGGTCATGTGTTTTGAAGAATGTCAGCTGGCCAAAAGTATTGAAAATAAATTCAATTAAAGGACTTTAAGTCTGCAGAATACATTGTGAATAATTTGAGCTAAATAATTTAAACTAAAACAATGATATGCTCTCAGGAAAATTAGCAAGTGAGATTGTGCTGGGTATCATCATAACAGTAGAATGAGTAAGAAGCAGGTCAAATCAAATTCAAATTGATCAAATATGACCGTGAACTGGTTCATGATCATTTATCAGATTGATTATAAAATAGTTTATGATTATTTACTAACTGTTCACCAAGCAAAAATATTTGAAAAGCCTAGGTGCGAGTAGTCATGTGTTTGAAGAACGCTAGCTGGCCAAAGGTGTCAGAAATAAAAAAATTATTCACAATGTATTCTGCGGACTTAAAGTCCTTTAATTAAATTTATTTCTAACACTTTTAGCCAACTAACATTCTTTCAAACACATGACCACTCGCACCTGTGCTTTCAAATATTTTTGCTTGGTAAACAGTTAGTAGGGATGGGTAAATAATTATAAACTATTTCATAACCAATCTGATAAATAATCGTGAACTAGTTCACGATCATATTTGATTAATTTGAATTTGATTTGATCAAATATTTGATCAAATTTGACTTAATCAAATATTTGACTTCAAACTCAAACTTTGAATTGCTTTTGTGGAACACTAGTAAAATGTTACATTCTTAAAAAGTACTGTAAAACATATAAATTAATTACCCAGACAATTGATTTACATCAGCTGTAAAGATAGGAATTATAAAGTCATTAGTCAACTAGTCAACTAATTGACTAAATTTTTTTATAATCAGTCAATCGATTAGTCAACTAATCGACTAATTGGATAATTGAATAATCAACCTATATAGTTAACTATATAATTAATCAAAGGTTAATAGCCAAATTTAATTGGTTAACTATTGTTTATATAATATCTAATTAGTTGATTATTCAACTAGTCGACTAGTCGATTAGTTGACAAATTGATTAGTCGATTATTTAACAGTTTTAGTTGACTAACTAATCAACTAAAATTTCTGATTAATACATCAGCCGATCAGATGAACTTCTATGAATAAATTTCTACTTTCTGCAATATTTTCATGCTATTTTCTGCTTCGTAAAATGCAGAAAATCATTTGTCCTGATTATGATTTTTTTTTTTTTGGTATTAAGGTGAGGCCTTGCTTATATCTTTATTAGTAACTTTAAAAATAGTAACTACATTAAAGAAATACTACTATTTGTACAAGTACAAATAAAAACAAAAATTACATGCAAGAATAGAAGCTCAGACATATTTATCTGCGATCTAAACCCATCCTGATTATGATATTGATCATGCAATTAATCAATTTACAGTATAATTTAATAAAGGTTTTGGGAACTACTAAACTTTTGCTTTCTTATAACGATAATTTTACTTGAATGCCTACTAAAACACAATATTTTTACTTAATACATTCCAGTTTTAGAACTTCACAAGTTTATTCACTATATATAATATATTGAATTTTTATTTCTGCTATTTATGTATGCATGCTAACTTAACTAAAAAATAGAAAAAAAATCGGAAAATGTTTCAGAACTTTTTATATGCCCATAACATAATTTTTGGTGCTTAGTCATCCAAAATCTGAACTATAGTTCTTGTGGTGAAAATAAATCAAAATAAATCCTATTGCGTTTTAAAAATATCATCTTATTTACTAAGTCAGGAGATAGGCGAGTTCGTTTTGCTAAAATGTGGTTGCCAATATCAGAAAATAATCTTTTACTCGGTACAGAAGTGGCTGGAATAGAGAGATACTTGCATGCTGTTGAGCCAAAATAGATAAGCTACTTTTATTTTTTAGCTACTATTCTAAAGGATCATCATTAAGCTTGATTTCTTGCAACTTTATATAACGTGTTACCTCGTTTTCTTTTATATTTGTTTGTGTAAAATCTGCTTTCAACTTTCGAAAAAAATCACTATCATCATTATAACTTCTATCCGCCAAACTTTCTCCAATATCATATGGAACTGAAAGATTTATCTTTAACTCTTTATATAGGGTCACTATCAAATTTTGTGCTTTGTTTTGTTCAATGCTTGTTGCTCAATTAAAATGTTTGAATCTTGGATCAAGAAATGTTGCAATTAAAGCAATATCTGATGGTGCTGCCCATAATTTATTTATTGATAAATAAATAGCAGCCCGAACTCTATTAAGTAAGCCAGTAGTAGAAACTGATAGCAAATCCTCTGCTTTGATTATATTATCTAATTCCTCATTATTAGATTGTACTTGCGTTTTCTTATTTCATCTTTGACTATGATTACAACTATGACCATGAGCAGCTATCCTCTGACTAAATTGTTTGTGTGCACATTGCCATTGTTGACGAGTACCAGCAGCTGGAATATCATCATCACTTGTTTCATCACTCTCATTACTATCACTTTCAGCTTTTCTATAAATAAGATTCAAGTAAGTATCTATTGTCTCACCTTCTTTAGGTGCAAACCTTTTTTTAAGTAGTTTCATATATGAATAAACAAGATTAAGAGTCAGATACTTAGTATCACATAAACGTTGGGTTACTTTTTCAATTGGTTCTAGTAATTTTACTATATCTTGCAAAAATCTGGAAATAAAAAATATGAACTTTGTAAAAATAAAAATTACCAAATAGCAAACCAAATATAATTATAATAGAATTTTTTTTTTTAAAAAAAAAACTACAATAATCATAGGTCATAAATTTCATACTATTATATAGCGCTGCATATAGTATCTAGTTTTTTCAAAAATATTAATATAAATTAAATATAGTATTAAAGAATATCATTAATTCAGACTACTTGATTAGTACCAGGATACTTTTCAAAAATATTAAAGTTAATAATTTAATAGTATCCCAATTAGTGATGGGCAAATCGAAGATTTTTTAAAAATATTATGCAGGCTGCGCAGCCTGCACAAGCCTGCATTATGCCAAAATTGCTAAATTTTGATGATTTCTGGCATATTCTGACCTTCTAAAATATTTCGCCTACATAGCGGCCCATCACTAATCTCAATACTATTTAAAAAAATACTCATTTTTTAAAAGGCACAATATACAGCGTTATAAAGTAATTTAATAAATAAAATTAAATGAATTTTAATTACTCCTTTTCACTAATTGATAAGCATATGTACATCTCATCCATACGAACCAGATGAAATAGATGCTCTTGCTAGGGATCTTATAGTACAAGACCCAAACAAAATTATAGCATACGAAATGATTTTATATGGTCAAATCCGAGATGCACTCAGGAAAGCAGAGAATTATTTACAAGAAGGCACAATTCAGCA